ACATAGGCCTGCAAAATTGCAGCCCTTCTCTTTGGAGAGCCTGGAAGGTATAGAATGAACTTCATCCAGTTCAGAGCATAGCTGTCAACGTTTCCCTTTTTTAAAGGGAAATTCCCTTATTCCAAATAGGATTCCTTGCAAGAAAAGGGAAAAGTCGACAGCTATGGTTCAGAGGGAGATTAATGATAGTAAGCATATAAGGTATCATCTGTTTGACCAATTCTAGCGTTTACAGTAGGTCTCTGGCCACTATTATTAAAGCTTCAGGAAACCTATTAGTCAAATATACGCTTCCAACTTGACCCAAACATTTTTTTACCAGCTGTTTTTTTATTTGAGGGGGAATATATACATTGATTAATAAAATACTATAAAATTTGCATCTTGCTAGCACAGCAATGGCTAAATGGTTCAGGGGCTCCAATATATCAAGGGAAGCCCTCAACCTTGTTGACACCAGGGTACACAGACCTCCTTTGGTTTGTCCACCCTGATCACTAGGGTTAAACAGTATGCATTGTGACCCAAGCCTCTTGAAGAAATATGATCTCATGCTTTTGAATAAATTCTATAAAAGAGGGATCTGGTGCCTTTTTTGTCCAACCTGCAGTTGGGGCATCCTTTGATGGCATAGTTTTTGTCAGGGAGCTTTAGTAAGTGTTACCAAGATAGAAGCAGTCTTTATACCTTCAGTTGGAGAATAAAGCTCCTTCGATATTTCTTTTGTACTAATCTGGGTACCCACATGCTCTTCCAAAATTTCATTCAAGTCCAGCTGTATGGCGGGTCTGCTATCATTTGAGATTATAGGTACAATCTCCCCTGCCCAAAATAGACTGTATGAGTGCGCCATAGCCATTGACTCTCTGATGCAGGTTATGAAGAAAGTAACATTTGGTTACAGAAGGGTGATCTTTAATACTGTGTTTATCACACACACACACACACAGAGAGAGAGAGAGAGAGAGAGAGAGAGAGAGAGAGAGAGAGAGATTGAGATTTAGCTTGGTTTAAAAAAAGAATGCCACTAAAATGTGACACAAAAATCCAAAGTGCAAAGTGAACCATTAAACTCACCTGGGATGCACCAGCCTAAGACCGTGTGAACAATCCCAGGGGCCAGCTATTTATTGCTCTGTGTCCCCTCAGCTGCTATCTTCCCCTGAGATCAATATGGTCCGACCCTTGAATCTACCCTGATCTCTCTCAATGCTAAGACCCAAAAGGAAACCAACGTCATGCTATTGGAGAGGGAGCTCTCTCTGCCCTCCTTCCCACATTCATCATCTTGGTGGGACAGTCACTTGGGAGACATGCAGGTGACTTGCAGTTGGGTTAGGGGGTGCAATACATATCTTGCCCCAGGCACTGGCAACCCATGCTATGCCACTGGAGCAACCCTGTTCTGGGTCTCCAGGGATGTTTCTGAGCAGTACTCTGCTACATGACATTAATTCCTTAATTGGAGGTTTTTAAGCAGAGATCAGGTGGCCATCTGTCAGGGATGCTTTAGTTGCAATTCCTGCATTGCAAGTGATTGGACTAGACCCTTTAGGTCCCTTCCAACGCTACAATTCTGTGATTTTTGCAGCTCCATCTCTTGTGCTCACTTGCGTCTGCCGTTGCCCTCTCTCTCTCTCTCTCTCTCTCTCTCTCTCTCTCTCTCTCTTGTTTCCTTTATGCACATCTTTGGGATCTGCATGCTCGGAATATTCCCTTGTGGAATCTTCCAGCAGACAATGTCCCTCCATCTGTCATCTCATGAGCAGTCCTGGGGCAGTACATAGAATCTTTTGAGAGAGAAAGAGAGTGAGACTTGTGCAAAGTCACTCATAAAAGTGGGTTGCATCATATAAACAGTGCAGTTGACTGTGGCACCAGTCCTGTGTGAATAATGCCCGAGCAAATGATTTGGAAGGCTGTAAATCTTGCCTCTCCCTGCAACCAAAAACTGAGAGTGGTGGGTGCTTTTCCCAGAAGTTGGCTTCTGCTGCCTTCTCTGAAATCCAAGATTCTCTATTTGGATTAGTGATACATACCTGCATACATAATTTTATTTGTATGCCACCTTTCCACAATTAAAACCTTGCTCGGTGCAGCTTACAACATGAAAAACACATAATTACGAGCGTAACAAAAGTAGTCATAAATAATAACAAAGTAAAAAAGAATACAAATTGAAACAATTCCCACATAAACCATAACATCTGAAATAAAGATACCGTATTTTTCACCCTATAGGACGCACTGGCCCATAGGACGCACCTAGTTTTTTTTGTGGGGGGGGGGGAATAAAGAAAAAAAATTATCCCCCCCCCCCCCCCCAGCCACGGCTTCAGCGCACCCCGCGCTCCGGGCAGCAGGCTGCTATCTGCAGCCTAGGGAGCCCTACGGGAACTCCCGCAGGCTCCCCAGGCTTGCTGATAGCTTCCTGAAGCCTGGAGAGCGAGAGGGGTTGGTGCGCACCGACCCCTCTCGCTCTCCAAGTTTCAGCGAAAGCCTGCATTCGCCCCATAGGACGCACACAGATTTCCCCTTCATTTTTGGAGGGGAAAAAGTGCGTCCTATTGGGAGAAAAATACGGTACCAAAAAATCAATAAAGGGAAACCCCTCCCCCAACAACATCCCCTAAACAATACCCCATCCCAGTAGACTTCTAAGTGTGGGGTTCCCCTCCCTCTGAAGGAGCAAGTTTGGGGGTACTCCTGCATACATCTCAGTCACTAGAGCCCCCGGTGTCCTCTATGTCCTCCTTACCTATCTTGCCCTGACCTAGCCACTGTGACCCACGCGACAGTCACCTCCAGACTTGATTATTGTAACTCACTCTACGTGGGGCTGCCCTTTAGACTGACCCAGAAACTCCAGTGGGTGCAGAATGCCGCGGCGAGACTTCTTACGGGGTCCTCGCCGCGGTATCACATTCACCCAGTGCTATACCAGCTGCACTGGCTCCCGGTGGAGTACAGGATCAGGTTTAAGGTGCTGGTTTTAACCTTTAAAGCCCTATATGGCCGAGGACCCTCGTACCTATGGGACTGCCTCTCCTGGTATGTCCCATGGAGGACCTTACGGTCTTCAAATAAAAACATCTTGGAGATCCCGGGCCACAGGGAGGTTAGGCTGGCCTCGACCAGAGCCAGGGCTTTTTCGGCTGTGGCCCCGATCTGGTGGAAGGCTCTGTCACAAGAGACAAGGGCCCTACGGGACTTGACATCTTTCCACAGGGCCTGCAAGACAGAGCTGTTCTACCAGGCCTTTGGCCAAGGCACAGTCTGACCCCCCTCCTTCGGTAATCCTCATAGAACTGTAGCCCAATGGTTGCCATTAATTTGATTCTGAATTCATTTTAGAATGAATTAATTTTAGAATGTATTTCAATTAATTGATTGTGATTTTATGTAAATTGTGTTACTTTTACTGTTGTTAGCTGCTCTGAGCCCGGCTTCAGCTGGGGAGGGTGGGATATAAATAAAATTTTATTATTATTATTATTATGACTGGGAGGGCCTTTTACCAGCTTCAGCTGGTTTACAAACTATAGCTTCTTGTGCACAGGGACAGTCTGACCACTGTAGTACATGCGTTGGTAACCTTGAGGCTGGACTACTGCAATACATTCTATGTGGGGCTTCCCTTGGGCCTGGATTGGAAGCCCCAGCTGGGAAAGAATGCTGCAGCCAGATTGCTGACAGGAGCTTCTGGCTGAAAGCACATGACACCATTTTTAAAACAGGTGCACTGGCTGCCCATCTGCTACCAAGCCAGGTTCAAGGTCCTTGTGTTGATTTATAAAGCTCTGAACAACTTAGGTCCAGGGAACCTTAGGGACCACATGAATCCTTGCAATATCCCAGCTCAATCAGTGAGATCATTGCAGGAGCATCTTTGGTCGTTTCCAAGTGTTATACTCTGCTGTTAAAGATTCACCAGACACCTTCTGTTTTCAACTTTTAAATCCCTGCTGAAAAAAAATCTATCCTGCCAGGCCTAAGCAGGCAATTAAAAGTACATCTCCCACAATGGATTGTTGAGACTTGTTTTGGTTTTAACTTATTTTTAGCTTTTTATTATTTTACTGTATGATTTTATGCTTTTACATTGTTGTAAACTGCAGTTATATATTTTTATGATACAATGGTTCATAAATGCTTTTATAAATTAATAATAATAATTGAAACAATGTGGGAGGAATTGGACACCCTGGTCCTCTGATTGTTCCATCAGCACAAGTAGAAACCCATGAAGGCAACAACCAAAAGGCAGACCCAGACAGGGCTTTGCAGGTCTTCTGGGGTCATTCAGTAGGGATCATGGGTTTGTGCTGATGGAAGTAATCTAGAAATGTGTCCTGTCTTGCACACCAAATAATTGTATTGCATTTTTTAATAATTGCATATTCTTGGAAGTGATGTTTTCTCGAAGGCATCAAGAAGGTAATGAGCACTTTAGAATAACTTCCCTCCATCCTCCTGTTTTGCAGCGTTCTCCTTCCTTGATTCCAGGACAGGTTGACCTTAAGATTGCAGCAGATATTTATTTTAAGAAGATCCTGCTGGATCAGGCCAGTGGCCAGTCTAGTCCAGCACCCTGTTCTTACAGTGGACAACCAGATGCCCATTGTGGGAAACTACCAAGCAGGATTCAAGCACAAAAGCCCTCTCCCCTCCTGCAGTTTCCAGCAACTGGGATTCAGAAGCAGTACTGCCTCTGTAAAGGCAGAGTGCAGCCATTCTGGCTAGTAGCCATTGATAGCCCTCTCTTCCTCCATGAATTTCCCTAATCCTCTTTTGAAGCCATCCAAGCTGGTGGCTATCACTGCCTAATGTGGGAGCAAGTTCCACAGTTTAACTATGTGCTACGTGAAGAAGTCCTTTCTTTTATCCATCCTGAAGCTTAAAACAAGAGAGAAAGATGAATTTGCCTAATTGTTCACTGATTCCCTTTTCACTTTCCTGCTGGCATTTGCTAATTATCTCCTCCTCCTCCCAGGTACCGGATGCACAAATCCAGAATGTACAGCCAGTGTGTCAAGATGCAGCATCTCTCCCAAGAGTTTGGATGGCTTCAAATCACTCTCCAAGAATTCCTCTGCATGAAAGTTCTGCTCCTCTTCAGTATTAGTAAGACACATTTTTTCATAGGTGCCTTTTTATTTCCTTCTCTCTTTCTTTCAAAAAAGAATCATAGAGTTGTAGGTACCTCCCAAGGGTCATCTAGTCCTACTCCTTGCAGTGCAGGAATCATAACTAAAGAATCCCTGACAGATGGCCAGAGATACATAGCAGAAGTTTGCTGTACTGATGGTTGGGCATGGCTTGCCTTTCTTAAAGAACTGCATCTTAGACATGCACAGAGTATTTTAGTAAACTATTATTATTATATTAATTGATATTTATATATTGCAATTATTCCCCATATTCTTCTCCAAGGAGTTCATGGTGGTGTATGTGGCTCTCCTCCTCATTTAATCCCCACAACAACCCAGTGAGGTAGGCTACGCTGAGAGGTAGTTACCGGCCCCCAACACCACCCAGTGAGCTTCATGGACAAGCAGGGATTTAAACTTTCTCCCAGCTCCTAGTCTGGGACTGTAGCCACCACATTACCCTTACTCTAACTACTGCTACCACTACTGTTATTGCCACCACCATTATGATCATCCCAAAGTGAGGAGCTCTGCAGTCACAAGAATCATGTCTGACCTTAGCGTAGGAGTCTGAAGATGATACTCTTTCTCCCACTGAAGGGAGAGGGCCATGGTACATGTGTGTGTGTGTGTGTTCATGTGCATCTGTTCACTTTTTCTCTTCTTGCTTTCTCTCTTTTCCTCCTTTGCACCTACAGTTGCATCCCATCTTGCACATGATTAACTTACACAATTTCAACCTTGTGCAGTTTTGAAAACTGGGTGGTTGAAATCCCACAAATTAAATGCACACAAGGTGGAGAACTTAGAGAGCTTAAAAGCTCCTTTTGCATCAGGTTTTCCCAGCACGGAAAGCGATTTTAAGCTCTCAAGACTTACTTACTGGGCTCTGGGATGCTCTCACAAGATCTTGCTGGAATTTGGACAGCCCTGAGAGATTTTACGAGACCCTCCCAGAACTCTGTAAGCAAGGTGGAGAACTTAAAAGCTCTCCACCTTGCTGGGGTGGGTGGGTCACAAGGCACACTTGGTGCACAACTCCAGAAAGGTAAGGATGTTCTCACTGGGGCAGTTCCAAGAGGGTGTTTCAAGTGGACATGTTTTTGCATATAGGCGCCATCCTAGAAAGTGACCAACACACAAGACACGGTCACACTGTACACTGGTTGTTATTCCTCTCTTTCTCCATGCACCAGTTCCAGTGGATGGGTTGAAGAATCAGAAGTTTTTTGATGAACTTCGGATGAGCTACATCAAGGAACTTGATCGCATCATTGCTTGCAAGAGGAAGAACCCTACCTCCTGCTCCCGGCGTTTCTACCAGCTCACCAAGCTCCTAGACTCTGTGCAGCCTGTAAGTAAGAGGAGGAGAAGGGAAGAGAAAGAGGGTTGGCCACACACATGGCAAGAGGGTTGTTAATCTTTTCACCTAAACTCTACAGAATCTGCTACAGTGGAACCTCTCGGAACGAACTTAATCCGTTCCGGCGGTCCGTCCCTACCCTGAAGCTGGTCGCATGTACTGGCGCCGCTTCTGCGCATGCAGCGATCACCCGCTTCTGTGCATGCGTGAATGGCGATCGCTGCTCCTGCGCATGTGCAGACCACGGCAAACCCGCCAGTTACTTCTGGGTTTGCCACGGACGTTCGGCGAAATGGACGCAAGCGGAGGCGGACATAAGTAGAGGTTTGACTGTACTGAACTTGGGAGAACACCAGAAATACCAGAAAACTTGTAAAAATGAGCGCTGGAAGCAGATCACTGTGACATCACAGCCCTTTCCTCCAAGAGGGAACTGTGCTGTCAAAGAGATGAATGCTTGCAAGTGCTCTATATGCAAGTGTTCTGAATGGAGTGAGGTTTTTATTCTTGCTGATTACCCAATAGGAACAACCAACTTTTGAATTTATTAGGATTCTACTGTACATCTGTTTCCTCCCACCCCAAAATGTAGCCACATAGCTTCCCACAGAAAACAAGAAAGAAAAAATTCACACAGGCTGCCTTTTGCACTAAATAGGTCTGGGCGATGTATTGATACATTGCCCAGGACTGGTATGAGGGGCAGACCGTGATGGTGGCTTCACTCGGCAGCATTTTAACCAGTATTTTAAATTGTCCCCCCCCCCCATTATGTTTTTACTGCAATTTTATTGGTGTTAGCCGCCCTTAGCCCAGCTCTGGCCAGGGAGGGCGGGGCATAAATAAATAAATAAAATTTGTTGTAGTAGTTGTTATTATTATTATTATTATTATTATTATTATTATATTGTGAGTGAAATCGCTGTCACCCTTGACTGGTAGCAGGGGGACTCAGGAGTGGCAGCAGTTTCACCAGAAAAACACTCCTGAGTGAAGCCGCCATACCACTCTGTACCAGCGCAGAGGAAGAAACAAGCTGCATCGGTGAGGCGCTTATACAGCTTCTTCCTCCCTCCACTTTTTAAAACTGCTTGGCTGAGGAGCGCATTGGCTGCCCTTGCCTCAGCTAACCAGTTTTACAGAGCCCCCGCTCCACCAACAGCTCGCACAAGCCAGTGGTGGGGTGGGGACTCCGTGAAAATGCTCCTGAGGGGTGCGCAGTTGCCACTCCCATCAGCTGAGCAGTTTACCCAGTCCACTGCTGACTCGTTAAAGTGCTCCCCCCCCCTTCTCCCGTTATCCTGTCTCTCCAGTCTGAACCTGCCTGCTGCAAGGGATGGTTGGGTCTTTGTGTCTCTCTCTGTGTAAGAGAGAAACACTTGCTTGAGTGCTTGTTTTGTGTGGATTTTCCCTTTGTCTAGTCCTCTCCATCCAGTTTGCTAGATCATCTTTCTGAGTGAGCTTTTTCACTGAGTTTTCCTGTTGGCTCCCTCCCCCCAGCTTCTTCATTTCTATTTCATTCTCTTCCTGTTTCTCCCCTCCCCACTATTGTCTGGGGAAGGGAAGAGTATAGGTGGCAGCTGGATTCTGCCCTGACTGCTGAGCAGGCACAGGAGGAGCCCACAGAGGTGATAGGGGCAGGAGCTTGTGGGGTGGCCTCTGGGGAGCTGGCTGAATTGGGGTCCTCCCAGTCCAACCCAGACAAGAAAGAGAGGGAGCTCTCAGAAGAGGGAGTGACTGAGGTTAAGACCCAACCCAGGGTGTTTTCTTCTGAGGTTTTTCTGCCTTTATTAAAAAGGATTCTTGGGTGCTGCAATTGCCAAAGGAAGAGACAGCCCCTCCTGATTCTCCTGCAGGGCCCTTGAAAACAACCAAAGCTCTTCCTGCTGCGATGGCAAACCTGCCTCTGTTTCCTTCCCCTAGGCCTTTGAGGAACCTTGTGATGTGGAATGGGGAACCCCCAAAAGAGCTTAGGCTCCTTGCAAATGGGGAAAGAAACATTATATTGTATCTTTCCAGATAAGTTTAGGAATCACCTCAAACGTCCAGTGATTTAGTGGTGTGCAGTGAAATTTTTCGTAGGGGAATAGTTAGGGCTGTATGTAGAGTTGGGAACACCAAGGGTCATCTAGTCCAATAGCCTGCAAGGCAGGAATCTCCACTCAAGCACCCCTGGCACATGCCTTAAAACCTTCAGTGAAGGAGAGTCCACAGCCTCCCAAGGAAGTTCATTCCCCAGCCATTCAATTTGCCAGTTCCTAGCAGCTTGGGGGGGGGGGAGAAGAAAAGTATGGCTTTTTTATAATAAAAAAAAGACAACCCCAGGCAGAAGGGTGGATTCCCCCCCATTAAAAAACCATTTTTAACACGCACACCCTTTCTTCCTCATCTCCCTTTCTATGATTGTGTTGTTCTTGGTTGTTGCATGTTGCTGCTGATCCTTCAGGTTCTGGCAGATGGTGGCTGGGAATTTATTTTATTAAAACACCATGTTTTCAAAACGCACACACACACACAGTGGCTGAAGGAGAGGAGGGAAGAAGTGAAATATTAAGGTTGCAGGGATCTTGTCCCCCACCCCCACCCCATAAGCACTTCAGGCTTTCCAACTGCTCTTCCTTAAAAAACAAAGCAGAAGAGGCTGCAGTTCTGCTTCAAGCAGCCACTTCCTGCTCATGCATGTGTATTGCTCTGCAGGTTGGTGCAGTTTTGCAGCCTTTATGGAGGTAATGAGAGAGAGAGAGAGAGAGAGAGAGAGAGAGAGAGAGAGAGGGAGATGCATGCACAGAGCCTGGAGACACTGGCTAAGCAGGTGCATGGGAAGTACCTGCTGGGAAGATTAAGGGGCATAGGCTAGTCTCACTAGTCCATGGACTGCACACCACTGCAGTGATTGATCCACTATGACAGCCTTGGAGCTCCCTTCAGAACGTGAAGGGGTCCCAGGTATATGTATGTGAGAAACAGTTGGAAATAGCCCTGAAGCCTGTGTTCAAGGCCAATGCTTTCACCTTTTAGGCTTCTGCCACCTTCTCTATGTTCTCAAGAGCTGTGTTTATGTGAGCTGTAGAGATGGGATCACATGCAGACATTCCCATGTTTATTAAGGATACCTTGAAAAATATGGCCTGTGCTTTGGCATTGGCTGCATACTCTTCCATGGACACTCTGCAATTAATGCATGGTCCTTAGCTACTTCCACAATAGCCTGCAGGACTATCTGGTTCCGACAGTGGCATGTTGACACCGTGTCACAATCCTGTGTGATCTCATTACCTTTTTGGGGGGGGGGTCCAAGCTCTTTGGGCAATCTCTGGAACCTCACCTGGTGGAGACTAAGAATAAGAAGAAGGCCCTACCTTCGTCCAACAAGTCTGAGAAAAAGTGGTGCCAGATTCAGTTTTTTCAACAATTCCCCAAGTCTCAACCCTTCTCTTCCATTTGGAACAGAGGGGTAGGCAGGATAGGGGTGCTACTTGCCCCTCCTCTTTCAGATCAGGAGAGTCTTCCTCTGCACCCTCAAGCCCCCCCCCCCCGACTTGGCCTCTAGTCCATCTGCTTCCCCAGTGGGTACAAGGCTACCAGCCTTTGTTCACCGGTGGAGGAAAGTGACCATGGACAAGTGGGAGCTGGAGATAGTATTGAAGGGTTATGCTCTTGAGTTTGCTTCTCATCCTTGAGACATCTTCATCCCCACTTCTCACTTAAGGCATCAAGAGAAAAATCAGATATTCCTACTGGCAATAGGTCATTTCTTGATAATAGGGCAATTGAACCAGCGGGCCACTCACAGAGCAAGTCAGGGGTTTATTCAGTCTTGTTTCCTGAAAAAACGCTTCAAATGGAAACCCTTCAAGCCATTGTCTTGGCTCTCAAGAAGGCAGATTGTATGACCTCTCTGAGGCTTATATTTATATACCAATCAGGAAGGCTCACCACCTCTCCCTGAAAGTAGGTACCAAGGTACTGGTGGCTCTTGTGGTATTCTTCAGAGCAAAGGGAATCTGTCTCCACCCTCACCTGGACGATATCCTGGTGAGGGCTCCCTCTCAGGAACTCTGTCATCAGGCCATGGATCTTACGTCTTCTGGCTGGATTGGCTTGGGTTTGTTGTGAACAGTGAGGAAAGCTGTTGATTCCCTCCCTGTCCATCAAGGTGATACTTGACATGCAGTCTTTCAGGATGTCTCTCAGGTGTGGAGCTCATCCCTCACTTCCTTGTTATATCAGGCGGTCTCTTGCCACAAATTGTTGGAATCTCCACTCTACCAAGCTACTCCTCCGGTCGAGTCCTGCGGAATCGCCTCCGACGATAATTAATGACCTGAGCCTTTGATAAGCCTCCAGGCACGTTTCCCATTCAGCAGAGTTTCAAAGCAGCAGAAGTGACGAGATTTATGAGCTACATTGCAAAGAGTTTTATACGCAGACAGAAAAGAAATCATCCTCTCTCTGTGAAAGACAGAGATCAACTGGAACACAAAGGAACAGGAAACCAGTAACATCACATCCGTCTCCTGTCTTCCGTGAGACTTCCAACAGTCTGGAATCCCTGGAATGTAAACAGAGTCTTGTGACTCCAAGCAACTGCACAGTGGCACAAACAGAAACCAACATCCTCCCCCTTTCTGTGAACACCACTGGGCAGCGTGTCAGTACAATCTCAGTACAAACCCAATTTCTGTACATAGGTACAGTGTTGATACTTCGGAACAACCTTGGACAATAAATCAGCAGGAATTTCATTACCTGGCATGTAGGACACCGTTACAAGTCCTTTCTGAACACATTCTCTAGCATGTTGCAGCTTCAATTGCAAGTGCTTCGTGCTTTGCTTACAACTTTCAGAAGTCAGCAAAGCCAAACATGCTTTGTTGTCCTGATAAACCTGGATTGGACATTTGACAGGAATTTTCATGTCTTTACACAATTGTAACAACCATTCACAATCCACAAGTGAATAAGACAGTGCATTCAGTTCAGCTTCACAAGAACTTAAGCTTCCTATAGTTTGCTTCTTGCACGACCAATCAAATAGACCCTGGTTGTACATGTAGCAAACTCCAGACGTGCTTTTCCTGTCTGTAGTGTCATTTCCAAAACTTGCATCAGCAAATATCTCAAGACCGCCAGACTTCTGATTGTTAAATCTCAGTCTGTAGTGCATAGTGCCTTTCAAATAGCGTGCTATGCGTTTCAGAGCTTTCCAATCCCTACCAGTAGGATTGTTGACATGTCTGCTTAGCAAATTCGTGCTAACTGCAATGTCCGGTCTTGAACATCTGGCAATGAAGTTTAGTTTGCCTAGCACACTTCTGTACAGTGTAGTGTCAGAAAATGCTTCTTCAGTATCATCTACCTGATAACCTGTTGTCATTGGTGTGTCTACAGGGTTAGCATCCATCAGGTTCAGTTTGGGTCTGTGACTGGTGACTGGTTAGCATCCATCAGGTTCAGCAATTTTCTGTGACTGGTGTACTAAATTATTACCATCTTGGTCTCTCTCTATTTCCAGAGATAGGTAGTTGGATACCTCACCAAGATCTTTCATGTTTCAGCTGAGCTAGGGTGTTATTGTACATTTTGACTTCCTTCCGAAAGAAAAGAATATCATCAACATAAAATAACCAATACAGCTTCTTTTGCCCTTCCTCTTTGACAAATACACATGGATCAGCTTTAAATTGCTGAAAACCTAGAGAAAACAACACTTCAGTGAGTTTGGAGTGCCAGTATCGTGCACTTTGCTTGAGACTGTATAGGGACTTCTTCAGAGAACAAACAAATCCCTGTTTTACCTGTACGCCATCAGGTGGAAGCATATAAAGTGATTCACCTAAGGTTCCGTACAAAAATGCTGTATTCACATTGTGATGAGAAATGTGTAGATTCTCTTCTGCAGCAAGTTTGAGCATAAGCCTAATGCTCTCATATCTCACGGTGGGTGAGTAGGTCTCGTGATAGTCTTCTCCTGGTACCTGTGAAAAACCTCTGGCTACCAGTCTGGCTTTGTGTCTGACTACCTTGCCATTTTGGTCTGTCTTTACTTTGAATACCCATTTGCTGTCAAGCAGTTTCATCCCTGGAACTCTCGGAACTAGCTCCCATGTTTTGTTCCTCTCTAAGGAATCAAGCTCAGCCTTCATAGCAGTTAACCATGGCTCAGCATCCTTTGAGTCCAAAGCCTGGATCTCTTGGAAGTTTGAAGGTTCAAATACCTTCCTGGAGCTATTAACAGCAGTTACAGCTTTAGCTGCTTTAGCAAATTCATCAGCAAATCTCTTTGGAGGTCTTCCTTTTGTGGCTCTTTCAGACCTGCGAATCAGACGTAAGTCTTCAGTGCTTTCCTCTTCTTTCTTAGGAGAAAAGTGGCCTATAGTGAACAGTGGTTGCTCCAATTCTCGATCAGAGCCTTCAGAGGGTCGCAGAGAGGCTTTAGCACTCTTGAAATCCTCTGAATCATCTGATTCATATTCAGAATCAGAACCTTCATCAGTGGGTGTGGGGTTTTGCTGCTGTTTATCCTCAGACTCTTCACTGTCATCAGGATAACATTGGAAAATTCCCACATTCTACCCCCACTTGGCATTGTACTTAACACTTCTAGTGAGCCTAACTGTATTAGTGTCAGTCATCATTACTCTGTAAGAACCTTTCTGATATCCTAGAAAGATACCATGCAAACCACGTTTGCCTAACTTGGAGCTTTGTGGTGTGTGAACCCACATGTCAGAACCAAAACTTCTCATGTGCTTGATGTATGGTTTCTTGCCAAACATCTTTTCATAGGGGGTACAACCAATTGGTGATGACAATCTGCGATTAAAAGAATAAACAAAACAGCCAAGCACTTCTGCCCAATAACTCTCTGGAAGATTGGCATCATGCAGCAAGGTTTTCAAGCCTTGAAGCAATGTTTGGCTTGCCCTTTCACAAAGTCCATTCATCCAAGGAGACCGTGGACTTGACAAATCATGTTGAATTCTTTTCTCAGTCAGAAAAGCTTCAAACTGCTGAGAAGTGAATTCTCCCCCGCGATCGTAAATAAACATCTCACTTTTCTATCATGCACATTTTTCAACCAAGCATAGAATTCCTTGAACCTAGGAAACACTTCTGATTTCTGCTTGAGATTGAACACATGAATATACCTGGAAAATGAATCAATGAGAACCATAAAGTACCTGACTCCACCCAAAGAGGGTGCTAGTGGACCAACGAGATCAGCATGCACTACCTGATATGGTTCTGTAGCTTGTCTACTAGATACCTTACCTTTAGCAGCCATTTTGACCTTGTTTGCTGTGCATGCCTTACACTTCATGTGGTACCTGCAGGGTTTAATAGTCATACCTTCAACTAAGGCAGGTATTTTGGAAACTGCCTCAAAGTTTAAATGACCAAATTTCCTGTGATAATCATGAATACATCCTGCATGCAAAACGTTGTTAGTATCTGCAATACAACAAGTTTCCTCCTGCACATCAACAGAATCATCATAATGCAATACAAATAAATGATCAATATAATCAGCATGCAATACAAAGTCATCTTTCTTGGTGATGGTGCACTTCCTCTTCTTGAAGGAAACGTCTATGTCCTGTTCAGTCAGCTGTGAGATGCTCAATAGGTTGTGTGCAGCATCTGGAACAAAAAGAACATTGTGTGTTGATGCATCCAAGCTGTGAAGCACAACTGTTCCATAGCCTAGACTGGAGATCGTGCGGTCATCCACTTGGTGAATCGCACCTTCCTGTTGAGTAAAGGACACGAACAGGTGTTTGCAGACATGCCAAGTGGCTCCCGAGTCGATGATGAAGAAAGATCTAGACGCCTTCTGGACCTTTGGAGTGTAGCATGAGACCATAGCTGTGTGTTGCGTTGTCCTGGACTTCTGACCTTTGCCTTTTCCATTTATTGAGCTTTCGCTGCACTGCTCTGTTGCCTTGGGATGTTTACAATCCCTTTTCATGTGGCCTAGACATCCACACGAGTAGCATTTCACTGCCTTCAAAGCTTTGGCGCCATCTAGTGGTTGCACTGCATTCTGGGATGACGTCTGTGAGGACTCCCCCTTAGTGATGCAGCTAGCACTACGCCGATCCACTTCATTCAATACCACAGCAGTAACATGTGCTACCATTAGCTGAGCAGTAGGCAAAACAGCAAGCTGGCTGGCAATCACTTCCCAACTCGAACCCAAAGAATGTAGCATCATGAAGGAATACACAGCCTCTGGAAAGGTGATTCCACGCTGTTGCAACTCATGCCTGAGATTCTGCATTTCCATGAGGTGAGCACGGACATCTGCTCCTTCAGCAAGTGCCATATCATGCAACTTGGCATAAAAGAACAAAGAGGCTCCTACCTCCATTCTTAAATGTGAATCTTTAAGACTGTCCCACATCTGTTTGGCTGAGGCCTTGTCGCGCAAAAGACATAGCTCTTCAGGGGACACAATAAGCGTCAGAGTTCCCCTTGCTTTGGAATCCTTAGCCTCCCACTCTGGGGTCATCGGAGCTGGGGGGGGCATCTGTTATCACATTAAACAGACCCTCTTTGCGTAGCAGGGCTTCTGCATACTGCACCCATTCCTGGTAGTTCCCCTTTGAGAGCTTCGGTACACCCATTGCGGTTTGAAGGGCTTCCATTACTTTAGCATTAGCCATTTTGTGTCTATAAAGCAGACTGAGTCTGTTTACAAGGAGCTGCGTTTCAAAAAAAGCACACTGCATGAGACTTTTGCTGCTTCTGACCTTTTGCCACTGGCCGATCAGTGCTTTTGGCTAGATGTTAAAAGTCCACCCTTATTGCCACGTAATTAGGGACTGGCTGGCTTCCCGGGGCAACGAGCACATACCTCTCATCAGTCTTCTTGACACGCAGGGAAGATAAGCTGCATTCCGGTCTGGCGCCCATAACCAAAAATGTTGGAAGTTCCATACGACCGAGCTGAAATGGCTTTCCTCCTCGTCGTATCTTCGGAATCCATCTAGGCTCTCCTCCGACGATGATTAATGACCTAAGCCTTTGATGAGGCTTCAGGCACGCTCCTCCATTACGCAGAGTATCCAAACAGCAGAAGAGACAGAAATATGTACTACATTGCTATGCTTATTTCTAACTACGCAGGAGAGAAAAGAATATACATCTGCTCTCTGTGAGAGTCAGAGAAACAACAGGAACAAAGAAACAGGAAACCAGTTACATCAACATCCGTCTCCTGTGAGACTTCCAGCAGTCTGGAATGTCTGGAATGTCAAAAGAGTCTTGTGACTCCAAAAACTGCACAGTGGCATAACAGAAATCTAACAGTTTATAGATTGATGTGCATTGCTGTCTAACAACATGCTTTGTGTATGAGTGTCCTTTTTTTCTAGGACTCTGGCCCCGTGATTTGGCTGGCATACAGGCACCTGTTTCCGAGCACAATTCAAAGTGCTGGTGTTGACCTTTAAAGCCCTAAACGGCCTCGGCCCAGTATACCTGAAGGAGCGTCTCCACCCCCATCGTTCTGCCCGGACGCTGAGGTCCAGCACCGAGGGCCTTCTGGCGGTTCCCTCATTGCGAGAAGCAAAGCTGCAGGGAACCAGGCAGAGGGCCTTCTCGGTAGTGGTGCCCGCCCTGTGGAACGCCCTCCCATCAGATGTCAAAGCGATAAACAACTACCTGATATTCAGAAGACATCTTAAGGCAGCCCTGCTAAGGGAAGTTTTTAATGTGTGATATTTTAGTGTTTTTTTGTTTCTATGGAAGCCGCCCAGAGTGGCTGGGGAAACCCAGCCAGATGGGCGGGGTACAAATAATAAATTATTATATTATTATTATTTAAGGGTTGAGGTGCTACTCAGTCTGGAGAGACAGGATGACTCCTCCCCTCTGGAGAGGATGTTGCAAGTTGAAGGCCCTGCCTGTCTCCAGTAGGGGGAGTCATAAACTGAAATTCATGGTAAGAAAAAAATCCGTTTTTCACACTCACTCTATCACACTTCAAAGGGAAGCATTTGCATTTTCCCAGTTATCAGGAATGGCAGACGCAGTCCATTGTCTAGTTGAAGTTCCATTCCACTATGAGTAGGATGGGCATTGTGATACTGATAGCTCTCTGTCTGGCTCTCAGTAGGAACAGGAATAACTGGGGATGGCTCCTGTAAGGGATTCCTATGGATATGATGGTACATCTCAGGGATTATGGCTGACCATCCCAGTGATGTCTCCCTACCACTTCCCTTTGTCCTTCCACAAGCTCCAAAATCCCATTGGAACCAAGACAGTTGATTTTTAATGAATTTCTAAAGTATCTCCATAGGATAACATTAGAGCAATATCAGACAATATTGTACACTAGGCATCTTCCCTACTTCCTTTTTTGACCCAGCAGGGGTCCTGAGCTTAGTTTGCAGAATGGCGCTGAGTTCTTTTGCAGATGCAATGCTTGCTTTTGCCTGCCAATAGCGCTCCCTCAACACCAGAGGTCACTGTTTCATAATATACCGTAACTTTCTCATTTATTGGATAGCTGTCAGATGCTAAGTCTCTGATTGGACAGTTGAAATTTAAAGGTTCAAGCTGTCAGATTGGTTTCTGGCTGAATACAGGCTTTGTTTTTTTCAGGCGGGAAAACAGAGTTTGGTGTACGTGTGTTTAATACTGTGCTGCAGAGCCTTTTCTCTTTGTTGTCAGTGAAGGATATGCTGCAAGGATCAAGGAGCATACGGGACCAGGGCACCCTCCCACCGCATTTCCTTATAACTCAATAAATGGCACTGCTGTAGAATATTGTTACATGCCACTCCAATCTCCAAGTGGTGAGAGATTCCAGGGGTTCCAGGTGCTTACTGAGGGTTTGGTTTCCTTGGAATGAAGTTCAGTGGAGACTGTGGTGTCTTTTGGATATACGCTTTCATTTACACAAATATACAACCTGAGCACAGGACAGAGCAACTCACAGCATTAACACTCCAAATGATCTTGCTTCTCCATTAGTCACTGTCTTGGATCCTGCACAAATCAAGCAAGTCTCCATCTCTTAGCCTGCTTTCTGCCCAGTTCACACCACACCACACCACACCAGACCAGCTCTTGTTCTAGGTGAGGGCAGTGGCATAGCGTGGGGGGTGCAGGGGGGGCCGGCCGCACCGGGCGCAACATCTGGGGGGGGCGCTCGCACTCGCAGCTCTCTGCCCCTACCTGGCTCACTCACTCTCTCTCACTGCAGTGCTGGCTGTGCGAATCCGATCCGAGCCGCTGGGTCGCCGCCCACTGTGGAGGGGGTGGGTGCCAGGCGTGCGGTGCGGAGAGAGAGTGAGGGACTATCTGGGGGAGGGACAGTGCAGCGGTTGCCCAGCACAGTGCTGAGCGCGGGAGAGAACCACACCAGAGCAGCCCAGGCAGCAGCAAGAAGAAGCTGGCAGCGGCGGCAGGTTAGGGGTTAGGGGGCGCAAATTACTTGCCTTGCCCCGGGTTAGGGGGCGCAAATTACTTGCCTTGCCCCGGGTGCTGACAACCCACGCTACGCTGCTGGGTGAGGGGGTGGAAGAAAGCCCCCTACATCAGCCTGGAAGGCCCCATCTCTTAGTCATAGCTATTGCAGCCCAGCTCATTCTTTTGGGATGCTGATCATGGGGCTTAACTATTCAGCCACAGCTATCGCCTGGTTTGGTCAGCTTGTTCTCATACCTTCTACCCACCTCTGATACAGGAACCCAAGAACTAGAAGGGACTTGGTGCATCATGCATACTGACCCTTCCCTCATCCTACATCACTATGGTACCAACATCACCTCCTCACTTTCCTGTTTCCTAGATCGCCCGAGAGCTGCACCAGTTTACATTCAACCTCCTAGTCAGGTCCCACATGGTCAGCGTGGATTACCCAGAAATGATGGCGGAGATCATCTCGGTGCAAGTCCCCAAGATCCTCTCTGGTCAGGTGAAGTCCATTTACTTCCACACGCAGTGATGGAGAGAGGGAGACACAGCAAGGGAGGAGCCCTTTGCGGCTGAGGCCCCGGAAGCCACCGACCTTGTCCAGCCTTCACCTGCCTGTTATTTCTGCACTGCAGTGCCTTGAAATGCTGTGTAAGCTACAAAGATACACAGTAATAATGAAAACAGAACTAACCTGCTGGGATTCCTTTCAGTTTTGATGATTCCCCACCCATGAATTCCCCTTTCAAGTGGGAGTTTTATTTGGCCTGTTTCAAAATGGCCCAGCATATGTGTGTGTCTGTGTGTGCAACCCCCCAACTTCTCTTTCCTGCTCTTATATTTTTTTAATCTGGTATTGTGGCGTGGTGCCAGGCGGCACTTGTTTACATTCTTGGGCTTCTGCATTTCCCACAGTGGCTTCTGTGGCCCTGTGCCATGACAGGAAGTCTGACAAGACACACACACACGCACATTGTGTTTTGGGTGTTCCCTTCATTGCTGCTTTATTCTCTCTTTTTAAACAAAACCAGAATCCAAGATGACAAGCAGGTTATTCAAATCAAATCCTGGGAGTGGGGGAAGAACTTCATTTTTGAGAAGCGGGTGATTTTATTTTTATTTTTAAACAGTTTTTTAATCAACTCTTATCTTGTGTGTGTGATGTGCTTTCCCCCCATTGCGTTGCTAGCCTCATTCTTAAGATGCAGGAGGATTTTCATAGTATATCTGAGGACAGGAAGGGAGAACTGTCGACCATGGACTCAAAATCATATGGAGGAGAGAATGTAGTGGAATCATACAATTGCAAAAAGAAAAAAAAAGGTGGGTGGGTGCCATCACACGGACTCAGATTTGACAGGGCCACATTTCTACATGTGAACCAGTTTCAGTACCTCAGTCTCAGTCCGGCTATGCAAGATCTCTAGAGAGAGCATTCCAGTCCCTGTTGATACAAGAATTAGAGACCAAAGGTGTATATTTTTGATGTTAATAATGTTTCAATGTTTCACTTTAATTGCATTTAACCTTTTAGAATGCATTAGGCTTGATTTTTGTGTGCCTGCCGTTTGTAACCCTCATGCCAACCCTCCTACACTGTGCACACCACTTCCTGCCTTATCTGAACTTAGCGAGGCAAATGTTTTGCCCAAAGAGGTATGTGTTAAACAGCTATCCATGAAGCTATCTAAAACTCAGGAAGAGGAGATGGGAGAGGAATGTATGATGCCCTTCCCTTCTCACTGAAGGTCTGATTGCCTAGACAACTATCCGATAAGTTATAAGTTGAGACAAAATGTTTTGGGACACCCCAAGGTGGTTGATGCCAGTGTGGAGTCATGTAGCTTTGTATCCCGTGACCTGTAACCTTTCTTGATGTATGTTTAGATGTTTTATGATTCTTGGTTTGCTGTGTTTCAACTACTATATACCGTATTTTTCACTCCATAGGGCGCACCGGACCATAGGGCGCACCTACTTTTGGGAGGCGGAAAACAAGAAAAACTTATTCTGAACCCCAGAAGCCAGAACAGCAAGCGGGATCTGGCTTCTGGGATACCATGTGGCTGTTCTGGCTTCTGGGATAACCGTGCCAAGCCTCTTCAGGGCAGCGGGATGAAGGCTCCCCCTGCCCGAAGAGGCTGCGCAGGGCTAAAGCAGAAGCCAGGACAGGCGCGTCGCTGAAGGGCGCAGCGCCTCTCTCTCTGCGCAGAGAGGAGAAGGCGCAGCGCCCTTCAGTGAAGCTGGAGAAGGAACAGAAGGAGACCCTTCTGTTCCTCCTCCGGCTTCGCTGGAAAGGCGCGTCACTGCGAAGCGGGAGAAGGAGCAGAAGGAGACCCTTCTGCTCCTCCTCCGGCTTCGCATGACAGGCGCGTTGCTGAAGGGGCGCTGTGCCTTCTCTCTCTCCGCGCAGCGCCTCTCCTGTGAAGGAGAGGCGCTGTGCAGAGAGGGAGAAGGCGTAGCGCCCTTCAGCGAAGCTGGAGAAGGAACAGAAGGAGACCCTTCTGTTCCTCCTCCGGCTTCGCTGCACAGGCGCGCCCCTCAAGGGCGCTGCGCCTTCTCCTCTCTGCGCAGCACCTCTCCTGTGAAGGAGAGGCGCTGCGCGGAGAGAGAGAAGGCACAGCGCCCCTTCAGCGAAGCCGGAGAAGGAACAGAAGGAGACCCTTCTGTTCCTCCTCGGGCTTCGCTGGACAGGAGCGCCGCTCAAGGGGCGCTGCGCCTTCTCCCTCTCTGCGCACAGGAGAGGTGCTGCGCAGAGAGGGAGAAGGCGCAGCACCCGTCAGCAAAGCTGAAGAAGGAACAGAAGGAGACCCTTCTGTTCCTCCTCCGGCTTCGCTGGAAAGGCGCGCCGCTCAGGGGCGCTGCGCCTTCTCCTCTCTGCGCAGCACCTCTCCTGTGAAGGAGAGGCGCTGCATGGAGAGAGAGAAGGCCCAGCGCCCCTTCAGCGAAGCCGGAGAAGGAACAGAAGGAGACCCTTCTGTTCCTCCTCCGGCTTCGCTGCACCGGCGCGCCGCTCAGGGCGCTGCGCCTTCTCCCTCTCTGCGCACAGGAGAGGTGCTGAGCAGAGAGGGAGAAGGCGCAGCGCCCTTCAGCGAAGCTGAAGAAGGAACAGAAGGAGACCCTTCTGTTCCTCCTCCGGCTTCGCTGGAAAGGCGCGTCGCTGCGAAGCGGGAGAAGGAACAGGAGACCCTTCTGTTCCTCCTCGGGCTTCGCTGGACAGGCGCGCCGCTCAAGGGGCGCTGCGCCTTCTCCCTCTCTGCGCAGCGCCTCTCCTTCACAGGAGAGGTGCCGCGCAGAGAGGGAGAAGGCGCAGTGCCCTTCAGCGAAGCTGGAGAAGGAACAGAAGGAGTCCCTTCTGTTCCTCCTCCGGCTTCCAGGTCAGGCGCCTCGCCGCGAAGCCGAGGAGCCTGCATTCGCTCCATAGGACGCACACACATTTCCCCTTCATTTTTGGAGGGGAAAAAGTGCGTCCTATAGAGCGAAAAATACGGTAAGCTTTTGTTCTGAAGTGCCTCGGGGCAGACCTTCTTAACTGGCACTCGGAGTTGAGCTCTGTCCTATTGCAATAGAAATAAACGTTGGGCCCCTCCTGGATACTAGACTTGAAATTAGTTTTCTTGGTCCCACAGTTTATTTAAAAGGTGGTCCCTCACCTGGGTAACAAACAAGGTGGTGTAGAATTGAATTCTTACCACACTGTGCAAGAGCCTCTCAGAGTCCAGTAAGCAAGCCTGAGAGCTTAAAACCTCTTTGCCATGAAAATCCTGCACAAAAATAGCTTTTGAGCTCTTTGTGCAAATTAAACACGTGCAAGGCAATTTCAGCAAGCCAGCTTTGGTTGAAATCATGCACATTAAGAACACATAAGTAGCTATACTGTAGTACCATAAGTAACTATTTTATGAAAAAAGACTTAGAAATTTGGTCAAATTTGAAGCTTTCACTGCTAGGCCGTATTGCTGCGATAAAAATGAATGTATTGCCTAGAATGTTGTTTTTGTTTCAAACATTGCAAATTTTGGACAAAATGGATTGCTTCAAGAAGTGGCAGAGAGATATTTCTAGATTTGTCTGGCAGGGCAAGAAGCCTAGAATAAAATTTAAAATACTAACGGATGTAAAGGAAAGAGGTGGATTTGCCCTGCCAGACCTTAAACTTTATTATGAATCAGCAGCTTTTGCTGGCTGAAAGAATGGCTGCTTCTTGAAAACACAGACATTTTGGATTTAGAAGGTTTTAATAATGTATTTGGATGGCATGCATATTTGTGGTATGATAAGGTCAAAGCACATAAAGCATTTAAAAATCATATTGTCAGGAAAGCATTGTTTAATGTCTGGATAAGATATAAGGACCTAATGGAAAATAAAACCCCAAGGTGGCTGTCACCGATGGAAGCGAAAACTCAGAAAAAGCTCAATATGGAGGCCAAATGGCCGAAATATTGGGAAATTCTGGAACAAGAGGGAGATAGATTGAAACTGCAGAGTTTTGAGAAACTAAAAAACAAAGTGCGAGATTGGCTTCATTATTATCAGATAATGGAGGCATACAATTTGGACAAGAAAATTGGCTTCCAGGTGGAAAAATCAAAATTAGAAACAGAACTGTTAGAACCCAAAACTAAGATTTTGTCAAAGATGTATAACTTGCTGTTGAAATGGAATACTCAGGATGAAATGGTGAAATCTGCTATGATTAAGTGGGCACAAGATGTTGGACATAACATAATGATGGCTGACTGGGAACAGTTATGGACCACAGGTATGAAGTTTACGGCATGTAATGCCTTAAGAGAGAATATTATGAAAATGATATACAGGTGGTACATGACACCAGTCAAGCTTGCAAAAATCTATCACTTGCCCGATAATAAATGTTGGAAATGTAAAGAAACTGAAGGTACATTCTTTCACCTTTGGTGGACGTGCCCAAGGATTAAGGCTTTCTGGGAGATGATCTATAATGAAATGAAAAAGGTATATAAATATACCTTCTTGAAGAAACCAGAGGCCTTTCTCCTGGGCATGGTCGGCCAATTGGTGCCAAAGAAGGACAGAACTTTCTTTATGTATGCCACAACAGCAGCAAGAATACTTATTGCAAAGTATTGGAAGACACAAGATTTACCCACTCTGGAAGAATGGCAGATGAAGGTGATGGACTATATGGAACTGGCGGAAATGACTGGCAGAATCCGAGACCAGGGAGAAAAGTTGGTGGAAGAAGATTGGAAGAAATTTAAAGACTATTTACAGAAATACTGCAAAATCAATGAATGTTAGAATGATGTTAGAATGAAGTTAAGTGGTTTTAGCAGCAATGTTATAAAGGTGTATGTAAAAATGGATTGTTAACAGGTGAGAATCCAAAGTTATAATATATTAAGCTAAAGGATTAAGACAAAAACAAAGAGGGAAAGGAATTGCTGAATTAACTAATAGAACTGGAATACAAAAAAGGGAGGTGTGAGGAAGTCAGGGAAGTAAGGAAATGAAATGTAAGGTATGGAAAGATTGATGTGTTTTTTAAGTGTTTTTTATCTTTTTTCTTTATTTTTTATTTTTTATTTTTTTTCTTTTTCTTTTCTTTTTATCTATGTAATCTTTTCTTTGAAACTTTAATAAATATCATTTAAAAAAAAACCATAAGTAACTATTTTAAGCTTTGCAGTACTTTTCTCCTTCTGTGGGTTCAAGTCTTTTGGAACGGTCTTCTGGGCATCCAGATAGGTAGAGCAAGATTACATGCCAGAGAACAGCTCCATTTCTTTCAAAGGTGGCTGAGAGTCCCCCAGGTTGTGGGAAGTGGAAATGGATATATCTCAGAGGTATATGGTGGACAATTTCAGACACCAGGTGTGGTAGCCTCTCACCTACAGAAGTGGGCACAGTGAACTTTCTGTTCCCCTCTGATTCTTTTGTTGCTATAACTCAATTTGTGCAAGACTTGCTTTGCAGAAGTGTACATTGGCTAGCATTGAAGACTACAGGGCAACGTCTGCTGACCTGTGCAATGGGCCCCCTGAGGGATCTTGGGATTCTGTCTATGTTTTGAAGAGGAATTGATTCAAAATACCTGTAATGAATGCCATGTATAAGCTTGAGGGGGGCTGAAGGGAGGGGAGGGGGTTAGACATGTTGTTGTTGGTGGGGAATTTACTTCCTCTGGTTTATTTACAGCAGACTACAGTTTAAAGGGGGGGGAAGCTTGAGAAATACCCAAAGCATTGACTATGTCTTAGCCATCAATCTTTATTTTTATTATGCTGTTTATGCATTAATGTTGTTGTTGTTGTTGTTATGTGATTTAAAAAATAATAATAATTACTTACGCTCTAGTATATTCTATTTTGCAATTTAGTAAAAGTTGCCCTTAACTAGACACTGGTTGTTTAGTCTTTAAACTCACTGTGGCACAGACCAGTCCACACAGACCTCCTCCTCACCTACTGATAAAATCATAGAATTGTTGTGGGAATGTTCAGGGAGGCAGGAGAGGATATATTGTTTAATAATATCCTTCCTAACTTGCGTTAGCAAGTCCCTTTACTTAGCAGAGTGCATTCCCCTTTTAAACACACAGCGGCTAGCTTTTTGCAAGTTTGTTTAAGCTTTTCAATATTAGAATTCCTGGTAATCCCCTTTTCTCCCCCTTAAAAAGAATAGACACGACACAATCTTGTGAAAAGTATATAAAAGAAGTTTACTCACACATTCAGTTCACAGATGGATCCCTGAAGGCAGACTTAGTTACATAGTATATACATCTGAGTCTGTCCCATATAGAGATAGTCTCTTTGTCCTCTGTTGGCTGAAAGCAGAAAGCCAACAGAGCATCTCTAGCTAAAAAGATGTTGCTTCTAAGACGAATGGAGTCGGGGGGGGGGCTGCGTGCCTGATCCTTTTGTCACCTGGACAGGTAAGGTCACGCCCACCTCTAGTCACATGCAGAGGAAGTGTGTCCCAGCTCAGGAGGAAACAGGAAGTTTTCTACTTACTGGAGCAAACACCCCCTTTCATGTCCACTCGTTCACTCTAGGAATGTTGTATGAGTCCTTATGTAGGTTCCCTATCGGACAGAGAAAATAACAGAGGCCAACCAGAGAATATTGAGAAGCAAAGCAGCTAGTAAACCTGATATTTATTAACTGTTGCAACAGGGTGCTCACAACCACACACAGGAGGCAGGAGGGATCCCGAACATTGGTGTGCAAGCTGTTATATAGACTTTTGAAATTGCCCACCCTGTGGCCCAAGACCACCTCCTGAAACATCATACATACATCACAGAAGGAGGCGGTCAACAGCAGAGGAGGCGGTCTACAGCATTCTTTTGTGATGGTAAATACTCAGTTCCTGAATCCAGGTCACAGGCTCACCCTATTCATATACAGATATGCCCTTAAGACAGGATTTGTGAGCAAAGAGACAATGGGGAGGTTTTCCCATTTCCTTCCTCCTTGCAGAGGAACATTTGAGGTCAATTTGGGAGAGTCAAAATGGATTCAGGTCTATTTTCCTGTACTGTTCAGACATGTGGTTTATATATTTATGTATTTGTTTGACTGGTACATTTATGAACATTTATTTTATATCTTGGGACGCGGGTGGTGCTGTGGTCTAAACCACAGAGCCTAGGGCTTGCTGATCAGAAGGTCAGCGGTTTGAATCCCCGCGATGGGGTGAGCTCCCGTTGCTCAGTCCCTGCTCCTGCCAACCTAGCAGTTCAAAAGCACGTCAAAGTGCAAGTAGATAAATAGGTACCGCTCCAGTGGGAAGGTAAACAACATTTCCGTGCACTGCTCTGGTTCGCCGGAAGCGTCTTAGTCATGCTGGCCACATGACCCAGAAGCTGTACGCCGGCTCCCTCAGCCAATAAAGCAAGATGAGCGCTGCAACCCCAGAGTCGTCCACGACTGGACCTAACGGTCAGGGGTCCCTTTACCTTTACCTTATTTTATATCTTAGACCTTATAATTCTCATAACAATCCCCCCCTCTGGGGCTATAATTTTTACTAAAAAAAAATGCCTCACAAATAATAACCTGGTATGTTGTAAATGGATGCCACATACCAGGTTATTATTTGTGGGGCAATATTTTTTAGTAAAAATTGTAGCCCCAGATACCTTATACCATCCAAATGTTTCTACCATTAATCCCTTTCAGTCCTCGATACCCCCTGAGTCAAAAAATAAGGAAAAAGAAGCCCTCTCTACAGTTCAGAGAATGATAAAAGAGGCAAAAGTATCGCCAGACTTAACTGCGAAGGAACTTGCCGAGTTCACTGCGGTTTGTCCAGTCACAAGGGCACAAGATGACCAGGGAAATCAAGTCGGTCGTTGGGAAAGTATGCCATATTCAGTAATTACGGAAGTAAAAAAAGGCCATAATGAGTTTGGGTTGACGAGTACCTACGTATGAGGACTCGTAGAAGGTGTATCATCAGGTTATGCCCTTTTTCCTTATGATTCCTGATGAAAATGATCCTAAATCCTGGCCAATATGTAATTTGGTACAGTGAATACTGGCAGGCTGCAGAACACCAGGCATGTTGGGAAAGAAACATTCTGCACAGAAACAGTAAAGATGTTTGTACCTTTAAGACCAGTTTCTGTAAGCTCTGGGTAAATTGGGTACAGCTGGCCATGACTACAAAAGGAGAAAAGCTGCAGTTTGAATCTGCCTGCAGGGAAAACACCCACAAGCTTTGTTGTTTTGTAATAAAACCTTTATTTAATTTGGTTTTACACTGGTCTCATGATGTCACAGTCTGTCATCTGCCACCAGTGGAAAATCCCCCTCTAACAAGGCAAACGTACATGCAGCAGGAGGAGTAATTTTTGACCATTTGGCCGGTGAAGGAAATTTTGCCACCGTGGACATGCAGAGTCAATTGCCTTGGGAATATTTTCCTATAATTTCTGCATGTGCCTTACATGCCTTTAAAAAGGTCCCAGAAAAGCCACCAAAAGTTTTGCCAGTATTAGACAGGGAACATCTGAGTCCTTTTTGGATTTCACAAACCGCTTGCAAGAAGCCATAATGCAGCAGATAGATAATCCTGATGTTGCAAATGAAATCTTGTTGAAAATGGCCGTAGAGAATGCAAATTAAGATTGCAAACAAGCTTTGCAGGCCATACAAGTCTCTAACATCTTGAAACTATCAGATATGTTACATGCCTGTCAAAATATAGGTACCCAAGTTCATAAAGTGGGTGTGCTTGCAGCCGCTCTGCGACAATCAGATAAGACCAGTAAGGTTTATTTTAAATGTGGCAAAACTGGACATTTCCAATGGGAATGCCGCTCTGCAAAGAACAGACACATGCCCCTCCAAAAAGTGCTCTCGTTGCCAAAAAGGGTATCATTGGGCCAATCAAAGCAGGAGTTCGGGAAACCCCCAGTCGGGTCACCCTCCAACCCAGGACCAACAGAGGGTATTCCCTATTCAAACAGGGCCACAGTCGATGCAGGAGAACAGCCGACAACCTTAAAACCTGCTGCCCCAGGTAGTGCAGGACTGGATTTAGTCGTACAGGGGGATACCACTTTCCATCTGCCAGGAAAGGTTCATGTCATACCCACTCAAGTTAAAGGGCCCCTTACCTGTGGAACAGTGGGGTTGATTTTCCTTAGATCCCAAGCCAGAAAGCAGGGATTTTTTATAATCCCTGGCATGATCGATGCTGGCTATGAAGGCATTCTCAAGGTCCAGGTTTGGACTCATCTCCCGCAGTCTCTGCCCAAGGGACAGTCTGTAGTGCAGTTGATTCTACTCCCGTATCCTGTCCCAGCCGTGGCAAATGCCCGCCACAGAGAGGGAGGGTTTGACTCTACCCTCCCTGATTCACCACTAGTTGCATCACAGTTCCCATCATGCAGAAGAAACCACAGTTAAAATTGACCATAAATCGCCTTGTTTTCACAGCACTGGTGGTCACAAGTGCAGACGTCACTGTCATACACCAAGAGGAGTGGCCTTCCACCTGGCCAACAGCAACTCTTAAAGAGCTTTGTGGCATAGGAGGACGACAATCTGGCCGCCAAAGCTTGTCGTTGGTCACAGTGTGTACACAGGACGGCCGCACAGTTGCCACCATCTGCCCATTCGTACTCCCTGTGCATTTGAATATTTGGGCTAGAGATTTGTTGCAGAAACGGAACACTACCCTTGAAATCAATGTCTGAATTTCTCACAACACTGCCTTTAAAATGGTTAACACTCGAGCCTGTCTGGGTGGAGCAGTGGCCGCTACCAGTGGAGAAGTTAAAGGCGTTACATTTCCTGGTTGATGAGCAACTTGCCTCCCAACATGTAGAACCCTCTACCAGCCCATGGAATACCCCGGATTCTGTCATAAAAAAGAAATCAGGAAAATGGAGGCTATTACGCGACCTCTAGGAAGTGAATAAACATATACAACCCATGGGCCCTTTGCAATTTGGATTACCCAATCCAAATTCAATCCCCTGTTCCTACCACTTGTGCATTATTGTCAGGAGTGCATGCAGGAGCCAGGCCCTGTGACTGGTAGGCTTTGCAGGACTGGGGCCTTCCTGAGTTTGGCCTGGAAGGGCAAGGTGTGGCTTGACAGAAGACTCATAGCACCTGGTGGCAAGGGCCGGGAGGGGTATATAAGACCAGCAGTTCCCTTTGGCTCTTTGCCACAGCAACATGCTACCCACCTAGCTGTGCTTCGGCTTCCTGACTCATGGTATCCTGACTCTTGGACCCTTGCCTATCCTGTTCCTGGAGGCAATGATTGACTCCGGAGCCTCTGGGGTCTTCATGGACATCAGTTTCATTGAGAAGTACCAGGTACCATCTGTGGTAAAAGCAGCACCTGTTCCACTGGTGGGCCTGGACAGGACCCCCTTGCATTGGGACCCATTACCCATGAAACCTGCCCGCTGGCCATGTTGGTGGCACCCTGGCACCAGGAACTATTAACATTTGAGCTGGTCCAGACCCCACATTTTCTGGTGGTCCTCGGGAGCCTCTGGTTGGTCCGGCATGACCCCGCCATTTCCTGGGCACAACGGATGCTGTGTTTTTCGTCGTCTTTTTGCCACAACGTCTGTGCCCAGCCTCCCATGTTGCCTCCATTGCAGCTGGAACCCACGCAGTCCCACCGACCGGCCCCCAGTTCTTCCACTTTGCATGGGACTGCCCCAGACAGGACAGGGCCACCGGACGCCGGCCTAATCCCGGAGCAATACCAGGATTTGGCAGACGTATTTGAGAAGAAAGGGGCTGAGGTGTTGCCATCCCATCGCACTTACAATTGCCCTATTGACTTGCAGCCGGGAGCAGAGATTCCCTTTGGCCGCATTTATGCCTTGTCAGCTCCTGAGCTAGAGGCCTTTCGAGAGTATCTAGACGACAACCTTGCCAGGGGGTTCATTCGCCCCTCCACGTCCCCTGCTGGGGCCCCCATCTTCTTTGTTAAAAAGAAGGCAGGCTACGTCCATATATGGACTACCGAAAGCTGAACCAGGTTACCATCAAGAATCGCTACCCCCTGCTGTTAATTCCTGAATTGTTTGAGAGGCTGCAGGGTGCGAAGGTTTTTACCAAGTTGGATCTATGCGGGGTGTACAACCTGGTTCGGATCCAGGAGGGGGACGAATGGAAAACAGCGTTCCAAAGCCGGTACGGCCATTTTGAGTACCGGGTCATGCCCTTTGGACTGTGCAATGCGCCGGCCACATTCCAGCACTTCGTAAACGGTGATTTTAATGACTTACTGGACCAGTTTGTGGTCACGTACTTGGATGACATACTGATATTTTCAACGTCCCCAGAGGAACATCACCAGCATGTCTGTCTGGTCCTGCAGTGTCTTAGGCAGCACCGGTTGTATGCCAAGCTGGAAAAGTGTGCGTTCCACCAGGAGTGCATGGAGTTCCTGGGTTAAATCATCTCTCCTGCAGGCCTCCAGATAGACCCCCGAAAGGTGCAGGACTGGAGTCCCCCCCAGGGATGTAAAAGGGGTGCAACGGTTCATCGGGTTTGCCAACTTCTACCCCTGCTTCATCCAGGGGTTTTCACATGTGGTTGCCCCCATCTACACCCTGGTCCGGAAGGATGCCGTTTTCCAGTGGACACCGGCAGCACAAGAGGCCTTCGAGCTCCTGAAGGAGGCTTTTACCTCTGCCCCCATCCTGGCCCATCCAGACTCACAGCTCCCCTTTGTGCTTGAGGCAGATGCCTCGGACTGGGCGATAGGGGCCGTGCTGTCTCAAAGACAGGGCCCACAGCAGTTGCTTCACCCCTGTGCTTTCTTCTCCTACCAGCTTGCTTCTGCAGAGCGGAATTATGATATTTGGGACTGTGAACTCCTCGCCATTAAAGTGGCATTCGAGGAATGGCGTCACTTGCTGGAAGGGGCCCAGCACCCAGTTCAGGTCCTCATGGATCATCGGAACATCAAACATTTCCAAGCCATGAAATGCCTCAAGCCACACCAAGCATGCTGGGCCCTGTTCTTCAAGCGCTTTAACTTCCAGGTCACCTATCGTCGCGGTGCCCAGAACGAGAAGGCCGACGCTCTCTCCTGGAGGGATTCGGGCTCCGAGGATGACGGTTCGGAGCCCGCACCCATGTTGACCCCGACCAATTTCCTCCAGGGAACCTGGGAGCAGGACTTTCAGGCACAGGTTTGCCTAGCGGTGCACCAGGATCCGTTTGCCAAGGACCGGTTAGATACCATCCCAGTTCCTTCGGGACCGGGGGGTGTGCCACTTGATGTCCGGGATGGGTGTGTGTACCATCGCAACTGGCTCTACATTCTGGAGCGGCCATGAACTGCTGGACATGGGGGGGTATGTGAAAACACTGCAGCTACTGTCCCCGGCCTTCTGGTAGCCAGGGGTTTGGTCGGACATTAAGAAATACGTGCGGTCCTGTGAGATTTGCTCTCGGACCAAGGTGCAGTGACAGAGACCCCTAGGGCTCCTCCAGCCCTTACCCACCCCCCACAGGCCATGGTCAACACTTTCTATGGACTTCATCGTGGACCTGCCGGTGTCCAAGGGACAGTTGGTCATTCTGGTGGTGGTGGATTCACTCACCAAGATGGCACACTTTATCCCAGTCCAAAGCCTCCCCACAATGCAACAGATGGCCCGTCTGTTTCTGGAACCCATATTCTGGCTACATGGGCTCCCGGCGCAGTGATCTCAGATAGGGGCCCCCAGTTCATGTCCCGGTTCTGGGTGGCCTTTCTCAAGGGACTTTGTATCAAAGGGTGATTTTCCTCCGTGTGTCACCCACAAACAGATGGCCAGACAGAAAGGGTTAATCAAGTTCTGGAACAATATCTCCACTGATTTCTGAGCTACCATCAGGACGACTGGTCGGATCTGCTGCCATTGGCCGAGTTTGCCTACAACAATGTCTGCCATGCTTCCATGGGACAGAGCCTTTTCTATGCCAACATCGGGTACCACCCACACCACCACCCCTGCACACCAGCGGCATCTCTCGTGCCTTCCGCCAATGACCGGGTCTCCCACATTCAGGAGACACAAGCTGACCTGGTACGGCACCTATAGAGAGCCAAGGCCAATTATAAGGAATAAGCTGACCGACGGCGTCAACAGGGGCCTGCGTTCCAGGTCGGGGACAAGGTCTGGCTGTCCTTGGAGCACTACCGCACCAGATCTCCCTCGGCTAAGCTGGACTACAAGTTCCAGGGACCTTTCCCCATCCTGCAGCAGATCAATCCAGTCGCCTACAAGTTGGAGCTTCCCCCCTCTCTGAAGATCCACCTGGTGTTTCACATATCCCAGCTCAAGCCCTGCCATGTGGACTATTTTCTGGGTCGCATCGCCCCGCCCCCAGCCCCGGGCCAGGTTGATGGCCATGAGGAGTTCCAGGCTGCCCAGGTCCTGGACTCAAAGCAGCCCTGGTGGCAAATTCAACTATCTAATTGACTGGGTGGGCTATGGGCCCGAGGAAAGATCATGGGAACTGGCCGACTTTGTGCATGCACCTGTCAAGGTTCAGGCCTTTCACCGGAGGGTCCCAGACAAGCCTGAGCCTTGACCGGGGGTGGAACCCCGTTTTCCTATGGGGGGAGTACTGTCAGGAGTGTGTGCAGGAGCCAGGCCCTGTGACTGGTAGGGCCTTGCAGGACTGGGGCCTTCCTGAGTTTGGCCTGGAAGGGCAAGGCGTGGCCGCACAGGTGAGGCTTGACAGAAGACTCGTAGCACCTTGTGGCAAGGGCTGGGAGGGGTATATGAGACCAGCTCTTTGCCACAGCGACACGCTACCCACCTAGCTGTGCTTCGGCTTCCTGACTCCTGGTTTCCTGACCCTCAGACTCTCGGCTTCCTGATCCCTGGACTGCTGATTCCTGCTTCCCAACCTCTACCCTGGTCCCGACGTACCAAGCCGGGTCTCCGACTGTCCGTAACCCAGACTGTGACAGTTATAGATCTAAAGGATTGCTTCTTCACCATACCTTTAGCCAGCCCTGATAGGGGAAAATTTGCCTTTATGGTACCGGTACTTAATAATGAACACCCTGTGAAGCAGTATCAGTGGAAGGTGTTGCCGCAAGGGATGCTGAATAGTCCAACCTTATGCCAATATTTTTTAGATAAAGCCCTGCAACCTTTTCCGGAACGATATCCAGAATTTAAGGTTTCTCATTACGTAGATGATATCCTTATAGCATCAAAGCGCTAATGGAATCCCAGATAGAGGAACTCTCCCAAATCCTAGGTTGGCAAGGATTGTTAATAGCCCCTGAAAAGATTCAGCACCAGCATCCCTATTCCTATCTGGGACATAAAGTTCTCTCCACCTATGCCGCTCCCATTCGCCCCCAGCTAGAGTTTCCCCAGTCATTAACTCTGGTAGTTTTACAACAGATTTTAGGACACATTAACTGGATCCAGCTGTATTATAAGTTGCCCACAGTGCAGTCACAGCCCCTATTTGAGTTGTTGAAAGGAGCTAAAGCCCCCTCAGATGTCATTCCTATAACTGAAGACCACCACACATGTCTTGCTGATCTTAATGCCTCCCTGGCAGAGCAATTTGTGGACTTACCCAGTTACATGAGACCCTTACGTTTAGCAGTGTTGCAAACTCCACATACCCCAACAGCAGCTTTGTATGCAAGTATTTGGTTCTTTGCTTGCAACTCTGAGTTCAGCAAAGCCAAACAGGATCTATTGTTTTGATACACCTGTATAGGACATTTCACAGATACTCTGATGTCCTGAAACAGCTGCATCAACCATTCACAATCCATGAGTGAAAATGACAGGGCATTGAGTTCTGCTTCACAGGAACTTAGGCTTACTGTCGTCTGCTTTTTGCACAACCAAACAGACAGTGGTTGTACATGTAGCACACTCCAGAAGTGCTTGTACCATCCATGGTGTCACTTCCAAAACTAGCATCTGCAAAGATTTCAAGACCTCCAGTCTTCTGACTGGTGAACCTCAGCCTGTAGTGCAAAGTCCCCTTCAGATAGCAGGCTATGCACTTCAGAGCTTTCCAATCCTGAACAGTAGGATTGTTGGCATGTCTGCTAAGCAGGTTAGTGCTTACAGCTATGTCAGGTCTTGAACATCTAGCAATGAAATTTAGCTTGCCTAGAATGCATCTGTACAGTGTGGTGTCAGAAAATGCTTCAGCAGTACTATCTACCTGGTAACCTGTCACCATTGGTGTGTCTGCTGGGTTTGCATCAACCAAATTCAGCCTGGTTAACACATCAGCAATTTTCTGTGTTTGGTGTACCAGAAAATTACCTGCTTGGTCCTTCTCCACCTGCACAGAAAGATAGTTGGATACCTCACCAAGATCCTTCATGTCAAAGTGCTCCTTCAGCTGAGCTAGGGTGCTTTGGTACAAAGCCTGATTCTTCCAAAACAGAAGAAGATCATCAACAAAACATAAACAAAAGAGATTGCTTTGCCCCCCCCCCCCGACAAACACACATGGATCAGCTTTGCCTTGGTGAAAACCTAGAGAAAGCAATGTCTCAGTGAGTTTTGTGTTCCAACACCTGGCACTCTGCTTGAGACCATATAGGGATTTCCGTAGACTACAGACCATTCCCTTCTGTATCTGCACTCCATAAGGTGGAAGCATATACAGCTCCTCCCCCAAAACCCCATACAAAAAAGCTGTGTTCACATCATGATGAGAAACGTACAGTTTCTCCTCTGCAGCAATCTTGAGCATTAGCCTAATGCTCTCATACTTGACGGTGGGTGAGTAGGTCTCGTAGTAATCCTGTCCTGGTACCTGTGAAAAACCTCTGGCGACCAATCTGGCTTTGTGCCTGACAACCTTGCCAGTCTCGTCTGTCTTGGCCTTGAAGACCCATTTGCTGCCAACCAGTCTCATTCCTGGGACTACCGGGACTAGCTCCCAGGTTTGGTTCCTATACAAGGAATCAACTTCAGCCTTCATGGCATTAAGCCATGGCTCAGCATCTTTAGAGGTCAACTCCTGAAACTTTTTGAAGCTTGAAGGTTCCCACACCTTCTCTGAGCTACTAAGAACAGCAGTTGCTGTCTTAGCAAACTCATCAGCAAATCTCTTTGGAGGTTTGCCTTTTGTGGCCTTTTCAGATCTGTGTACTAGACGCAAGTCTTCTGGACTCATCTCCTCCTTCTTAGGAGAAAACTGGCCAATGGTGAACAGTGGTTCTTCCAGTTCAGTGTCAGACGCATCAGATGGTCTGAATGAGGCCTTTGCGCTCTTGTAGTCTGCTGTGTCATCACTGTCGCTGACAACAGCAGCAGCACTGCCCACTGAGCTGGAATCCGAACTCTGATCATCATCCTCAGCTTCCTCTTCTACCTCCTCATCATCATCATCATCTTCATCCTTCTCTGAGTGACTCTGGAAAATTCCCACATTTCCCCCCCACTTATGATTCTATTCAACACTCTTTGTGAACCTAATGGAGTCAGTCATGAATACCCTGTATGCATCTTTTTCGTACCCCATGAATAAACCATGTGCCCCACGCTTCCCAAGCTTGCTGCTCTGTGGTGTGTGGACCCACATGTCAGAACCAAAGATTCTCATGTGCTTGACGTAAGGTTTCTTACCAAACATCTTCTCATAGGGAGTACAACCAATAGGTGATGACAGTCTCCTGTTATAGGAATAAAGGAAACACAATAAAGCTTCAGCCCAATACTTCTCAGGGAGATTGGC